AGGGTGGAACTACCTCCATAGCAATGTAAGCTTTATTGTAGTACATTTTCAGCAGTAAACTGAAATATTAGGTGAATAGCAAAGGAAAATCTTATGACGTTTGAAGAAAAAACTTGTGCCTAGTACTTCAACCTTCAACCACAGTACCACTTTCTCGTTACCTGCTCTTGCCTCTATGGTGTTTTACCTTTTGCACCTCGGCAACCAAGTGTTGTCCGTACGCACGACCCTCGATTATGTTGATGTCAAATCCTCTTCCGAAGTTTCCATTTTTATACCGTACTGCACCGTGTATGCGTTATCCTGTTGCGTTATCCTGTGCGTTATCACACATGACCTCGACCATGTTTCAGTACCCACTCCCCTTTGTTCATCCCCCACTACTTGAGAACGTGCATTGAAATTCCGATGGCCTGTACTACCTTTTCGTTCCTTTATCTTTGAATTGACCCTGCTTATTGAAAGGATGTTGCAGAACTACTCTCATTCCACTCTCTCGCTTATCTTCAACGTTAACTTTGGCATTTTCACTATCAGCGTAAAAGCCTAGTGTTTTGAAATGTATGTCTGCCAGATATTACAGAGAAGGCGAAAAAGAAACAGGAAAGAAAGAGAAAAAAGGAGTGAGAAATTCATGACCTTGCATAACATTGCCCGAACTTCCAAGGTGCATTTTTGTGGGGAACGAATTCTTCCATCAGTGCAAATTAAGCACACCTATCAATCAGTTGGAAGGATTCTCGACTCTGTTCTCGACTGCGGGTACTGTGATATAAAGAAGATGTCGACCTCGTTCCCAAGTTGCCGTCGATTTTTAGGTTTTTTTGCTCCAGGTGATTGGTAGTAACTGTTGATAATTACAATAAACACGGGCACAGTGCCGTGAACGGAGGAACGGCACAAGTTACCATTGGCAGCTCTCTTAATTTTCGAGTTGAATTAGAACAGGTTGTGATTGCTTCTGCTTATTGGCAGCAGGCTTTTGTAGCTCCACCAATGAGAACAATAAAACAAACATCTTACTTATGATCATCTGCTTGAGACCGTGCAGCGCAGCGGTTCTCATCAAAGAATCAAGTAGCCAAAGATTGTTTGTTAGAGGAAGCACTTACTAGAACTTCTGCAGCGACAACAACCTGTCAATCGCTAAAGTGAGTAGCAAGCTAGCTGACAGGAATATGCCGCACACTGGGATAAGTTGCCAATATACACAAATAGCTTGTAGCATTAGATGATCGGAAATCCTTAAGGGAGAGTGATTATATATACGAAGAAAGAGGATAACATCAGGTCAGGGCCACCATTTGTACATTGCACATCCCAGCGATGGAGTGGGCGGTTGCGTACTTTACTTGAACACGGCGTAGAATTCGTTGTTCGTAGCATATTTGAATTTGGCACTATGTTATCCTATTCTACTAAACTAAGTTTCAACTTTCTGAAACTGCGATATCCCTCCAGATGCGCAGCTGCCGCCAAAAGGAGAACGCAGCCGCGGACTCTCCATATCTGGGATATGGACTGTACAGGGGTGCATGGTTTGCGAAGAATCTTCGAGCATACCTACTCAAGATGCATACAGAAAAGTTACATACATTAAGTTGAGCTCGAGTAAACTTTGTAGTCAACAATTTGGATCGCCCACATCAGGCGACTAGTGCAGGTTTTGTAAGTACGATGCTTTGCAAGAATGAGCTAATGCCTTGTATCCAGCGAAGAGCTAGATAAGCGCTTCCAGCTCAACATTCTACCGTTTTGTAGCTTTCTTTTGAGGAAAGCAACAACAATCTACAGCAAACTTGATCTAAGAAACAATTTATTACTCACACGTTGTAGGAGATAACCATTACATAGTGACCAAACATCTGCATAACATCGCCAACGGAAATCAGCGCAATAAGAATGTTGCACATGCTCCGAAGACTCCCAAAACAAATGTATTTAGGAAATTGCAAGTGAAGGAAAGTTGAGTTTTTCGTACTTTAAGCTAAGAAGCTAATTTGAGAAAACTGACCTTGACACTATAGTGACGTAAATTATGAGAGAATTTCCAATTATACTAATAGTCGGAATAATTATATAGAACACTTGGAAGACGATTGGTAGAATAACTTCGGACATGGTGAACCCTCAGACAGGAGCGAGCATGTGAAATAAGCACTGTCGTTGAGAGAAATGGCAGGATAAACGAATTTCAGGAATCACAGGAATTCACAGGAGCGATTTCTTGCAATCAGAGCAGTGCAGGAATAAAATAATACACTTTGGCAGCAATGCATTTGTATAGGCATCACACTTTGGACTGGATAGTCACATTTGAGCTAGAAGCTGATAGTGAGAAGTAGGATTAGCGCTATCACTATTGACATATTAACACAACTTTTACAATCATTCCAGTATGCAAGCTATGATTGAGCTGTAAATTGAACTTATGTTCCTTTGATATGAAAGCGGTTTGATTACTGATCCTTCTGAGTTGCGAATTTTCAAGCTACCATTCTTAGTTTTG